GGCAATTCGACCTGCACTGATTATTCAGCTGAATTAAGGAACAATTCAGAAGATCATTCATCATAACTCTTATTAAATTCCATTTGAAGTGCTCATGACTCGACGATTCAAAATATGCAGCACACATATTCGCATTGTTTTGTCCGAAATGACGAGGAGCCAGAAATCAGAACATCGGCTTAATTTGCGAAATGGTTTAGGAGCATAACTTTCTTGAAATAATTATGGCAATGGTGTTCGTGACAGATGGTTTCATGGGCAATGTTAATGAGATTTGCTGATTTTTTCAAGAAAATAGAAGACTCTACAGTACAGATGGTTTTTTGGGCTTTCAGAAAAATTGGTAAAAAATTTCTTGACATACTAATTCAAGTAATTTAAATTTGTTCAATTGGGTTAACTGAATCGCGTGAAATTTACAGAGACTGCATATTTGCTGCTGAGTAGGTCTGGACTGAGCTGAGCTGAATTTGCTAACTCAGGCGCCTGAAGCGATATTTCAACGCATTCATAGCACAAAATTCATATTCCTTTAGTGAAAGAGAAACGTTCAATTATCGATACACATTCTATTTTTGAATTGAACTTTTCCCTTTCACTAAAGGAATATGAATTTTTCACTGCGAATGCGGTAAAATAACGAATTAGGCGCCTGAGTTAGCAAATTCAGCTCAGCTCAGGCCTACTCAGCAGCAAATATGCAGTCTCTGCAAATTTGTCGTAAGTATCAAGGCTGGGAAACGAAGATTTTACGGATATTGACGTGTTAATATCATTAGACTGATCTTTAAACATACACATGACTTCCTACATTTATCCAATGAGACCATACAGCCTAAATACATTGATGACAGCGTATGAACTTTCTTCTAAAATTTTACGAATAAAGCATGAGAATAAAGCGTGGAGCCACTATCTTTCGTGAAGTATGAATTTTCATAAAAGACATTAACATAACAAGAAAAAATATAATCTATGTCAAAAGTACCGATATGCCATTTAAATATTGGACATAAAAATTTATCGGTTATGTATTTTATAAAAATATATGTTCAAGGTATGAGCAAGAAATTAATTCAAAATGTTTGATTCACTCAAAAATCATCTACCGGACAATTTTGTGAGAAAATCTTCGGGATCATGTAGGAAATATCGATTTGAAATGGTCTGATTTGGGATGTGTATGTTGATTTTGCATGGGGATATTGCAAAATGGTCTACTCTGCATTCATCGATATGTCTTATGAAACAGTCGATCAAACCAATTTATAGATTAATTTAATCACTTTATGATAATAAACATTGCCTACGTTTATCGTCTAAGATGGATCACCATACACACATACTGAGAGAGAGGGAGAGAACCAGCTGAACACAGTACAAACTATCAATCCGTTGCGTTCCAATATTGCTGTTGAGTGTGAAAAAACATTGTGTGGCATAGAAGTGGAACGTCAAACCGAGCAAATGAACGGGCAAAAGCAAGACAAATATTTCTATTTCGAAGATTAGGTTGCTTATATGTATAAATAACTTGACATTGATTTATGTACAAAACCAAACTTAATGCTCTCCGTCTTTGGTCTGAATGTACTTGCGATTGTTCTCTTTACATTTGATTATTTGCTTAGTTATAGCAAGATAAATTCATTGATGAAATGCGCTACGGCACCTTAAGAAAGAAAGAATAAGAAAATCCAGACAACGGAATACCACTAAACACGACGTAACGTAATCCAAGAAGAAAAAAGCCTGATTGCAATCGTATTTATGTATAATTTATAAATGTAGTATTCATTTCGAGAAAAATCAATTGATATTAATGTTTCATTTAGCTCTGTTTATTTTTGCACACCAACACACGAAATCAGAATCAGTCTCCACCGTTGAAACATTCACATTCGTATAGAGATGCGATACGCGTATATTTCACTTTTACGTTTACTTCTTCTTCTTCTTCTTCTCTCTCTTCCTCTTTTTCTTTCTTTTTCTTGAATATTGTACCACTTTTCGCGAATATAGCTAATATACTGGGATTGATGTAACAAACGAGCAGCCAATTCTAGTGCTGGCGTGCGCTTTACACCACACTACCTGATCGGTGAGTGAAGGAAAGTTAACATTAATAGCAGAGAGCAGATAGGGGAAAATACGAAATAAACATGCCAAAAAGATTGAAAATTAAGTGTATCTGAAAAACTAAACATAAGCATTGCAGTACATAAGCAACATTCCAGTTCCAAGTGTGTCTACACCGTCCACATACAGCGTGTACTGTGCATGTCTTTAGTTCAATTATTTATTATTTACCCGAAACCGAATATTTTACCAACGCTTGTTCTCGATTCGACTGGAAACGCGAAAATGGAATGGCACTTGATGTTGTATTTCTTCACGTTTCTCTCTTTTCCTTTTTCGCACTACACGAAATGTAGAGCCGAGTTTTTAGAAAAATAAAAAAAGAAACTTCGTTCTGCATCTTTCCTGTATTCCTCGATACACAGAATGTATGGAATGTACTATCGCCGGATAAAGTATCCCCAATTATCCCAGAGATGGTTTATCGTTTACCTCACATATAAATATAAATGTGAATGCGAATCAGTAAGAACTATAACGTTCACTTTTGCGAGGGGCATGTTTCAAAAGCATATACCTTTGAACTACGAATGCGTTGAGAAACCATTACCAAAAACGTCAGAATGCATGATACGCATGACCATCACACGCATCAGTTAACGCTTTATTACCAGTTGACGCGTTAATTAACGCAAGAGTAAATGAATGTGAATTTACTTTGCTTTGCATAGTAAGGACAATGCGGTGGTATTGATAGGCGATGATGTAAAATCTCTGCATTATTCGACAACTATACAGTGAGAACTGTTTGATGAAAATGTCAATTTAGAAGCTTTGTGAGATATTTATCACTTCAGAAGTGTTGCATTTTAGGAGCAAAATAAATGTTTGAACGCATCACATACATTTGAAAAGCAATGTGAAAAACGTTGTGATATTCCGTGACAACTGTATTTCTGTGGTGGTACAATGGTGGCATAACCTCACAAAGACTTACAGAGCACATAATACCTTAATAACAAAAATTATTAGAGATCACGACGCGGAGCAATGCAGTGCGGTCTTGGTTCTTTTGACTTTCGCATTCCTTATTTACTTGTAGCAAAATGTTATGAACGTCGAATTTGATCTAGAGAATTCCAATTAACACAGATTGACTTAGAAGGATCAGACGTAATGAAATCATATCGAAATCGGTGAGAAAACTAACATTTCTGATGCATTTAAATTCCATTTTCGCTTTACCATTTACATATCACAGGTGACACGTACACAAACAGCACAGCCGCGTATTTGTAGCAAACTAAATGTCCTACAGTAACTAAAAAGCATCTAACGACCCATTACAAAAATGATATGAAGCGAATAAAGAGAGAGGGAGATGGGGGCAAAATTAAACCGAAAGCATACAGAAAATGGAATGATAAAACAAATAATAATTACAACAACCAACCGAAATAAATCCGAAAAAGAAAAACACGGAGAGGGATCCAATGGCATGGTAGCAGCAATATACAAAATGTGAAGTGAAATGAAATAAAAAATATGTGTCACAGTGGGCGGCTGTACAGTGTACACCATTTAACATTATACTGGTTTACTCAGCTCATCAGGAATGGTACTCTTTTTTCTCACTCGGTCTTTCATTCGGCTTGCCGCATTCAACATTCCATACACACAAGCACACAACATCTAAAGATATGTATAGCCTTTCCGTTTACGGATAATAAATGAAAATAAGCAGCAGCAGCAATAACAACAACAGCACGAACAAAAACACATTGGGGCAAATACACAATACATACATATTTGTATGCGTAAAATGTATCGAGAAATGAACCGAACCGACAAAAAAAAAAAAACAAGAAAAATGGAAAAATGTAGAAAAAGTAATCAACACACAATTCCTCAGATACAGAGTACTGTTAAAAAGAGCTTCAAGAAATTATTAAAAGCCAACGAATGAATAAAAATAAACCTATATAAATACAAAGCTAATACACAACTAGTACGCCGTATTTATATTGGCGGTAGCACCGAAACTATGGATATGTGTACGAAGCATGTATGCAGTGGTATGCGTGTCTAAGGCTGAGGGGGAAAGGCACGAATTAAAATATATTTTATAAATATGTATAACAATACGAAATAAGGAATGGAAAGAGAGAAAGCTTTTTCCCACACACACATACACACACACACACACACACACACAAACGACCTGATTGAGAGAAAAAAAGTGTATTGTCCACGATACGTGCTTTACTTCGGCGACGTTACATTGTTGCCTGACACTATTGAAGAAAAAACCCAACAATCAAACAATGGAAAAAAAAAATCGAAAGAAAAAATACCGAAACACAAAAACAAGAAGCGCCAAGAAATAACAAAGAACAAAAGATACCTCAATGGAATGCGGTAAGAAAACTCAAAACGCACAGAGAAATAGCAAGAAATGACAACGTGAAACAGAACATTGAAAATCGTATTCTATTGCTAAAAGCATTTTTCATGCGCCTCCTAAATTCATTTCACTCTATTAATTTCTTAGAGCGCAGATCTCCATCCTAAATAAAATATTCGTCTAAATATATTTCTAATGCGCGAGTAATCAAACCCTTTGCGTTAGTTTATCTTGTATTTCTCAACTGTTTTCAAAAACTTTTTTCTTCGCTAACGGGTATATCATGACCACTGTATCAATGAAATGCAGATATCGTCTACGGTTGTGGCATCTTTGGTTTTCAAGAATATGAATTTAAAACAGAGAAAAACTGGTGAGCAATGTTATTCGGACGAAGGATATACGGTTGCGTTAAATTTTGGAATGATTGCGAACTAATTCGAATACGGAAAAAGAAAACTTTGCAAAATGAAAAAAAAAAAAAAAAAACAACCAAAAATAATACTAGAATATTTACGATTTATTTGGAAGTTTTTATCCGTCGAATACATCTATATAATACAGATTCCGTTGTAAAACCTTTTGATGTGGATGGTGATCATCTACCGTCGAAAACCACTTTTGACAATGCAATGCAATGTATCTGTGAAAAAGCATCTATCAGAGACAGCCCCCACCGAATCACCTGATTCAGCTAAAAACATTTTTAACCTATGAATTTTGTACGTCGATAAAATAAATCTGTTGCTGTCATTTCTTGGTGTTTTGGTTGTTTCTGCTTTTTGCGTTTCCGTTGCATTTACTGCTTTTGTTATGCATTATTCAGCTGAGTGAAATTCCATGTAAGCCTCGTTTTATTTCATTTTCAGAATGCAGGAAGAATTAATTCCATTTCAAATGCCACCACATAAATGAGTTCACACTTATTTCAATATGATATTCCATTAATTCCTCGCTCGTTTGATTCTATTAACTTTTTTTTTTTTTTTTAAACTAAAAGTGTGTTTCACTTCTGTAAATTGTACACATGCACATACACAGGGGGGGGGGGGGGACAAGACACACATACACCCAAACTATAACGGGAGTACTTTTTTTTATACAATGAACTATGTTCTTCCAGTAGGTGTCAGTCAGCATATAGATGGTGGTAGTTCAGATGAAACGGCTACATAAATTTTCAATTATCGAAAAAGGATTACATATTTACAGACTTTCCACTTCACAACAGCACAACTGTATATGGGCTATGGATCTCAATCTGACATCGCATGAATTAAATGAAAACTCAAAAGCACACCGATTCTTTCTTTTTTTTTTATTTAATACTTGAACTTTGATTTTCAAATTCCTGACGTTTTGCTCAAAAGGTATTTTTATTTTCCTTTTCTCCAAGAGTTTTCATTCTGTTTGTGATTGAGGAAAAACGATCGAGCTTTTATTTTTACTTTCTTTCTTCCGTTTGTGGTTTAATTTTTTTCTTTTCGTTTTTTGAATGAATGATGATGACGATGATGAAAATGATGACGTCTATAAATAACGATAACGGTAAAACGATTGAAATTCACTGCACGAGCACTGAGCTTCTTTAAATAAATACATCACACAAACAAATTATTTCGACTAAATTCAACACTTCGATTTGAAACCATTCAAACAGTCCTAATTGCATTTCGAATGAAATTCTCTGTGTCTTAATTTCAACGTTATTTTCTCTTTTTTTTTTTCTCCAGTACTTTCATACGATTTTTGCTGTTGCTCTAACAACTATTAGAATCATTTAAGGCTGAGTATATTACTGAAGATTTAATGTAGTTTAATTTGAGTTTCGTGGATCAAATGCAATGAAACAGTATAGCGATTGTTTTAACCTTAACTCGATTTTCTTCTTCGATTTACTTTGGATTTTTGGGGTATGTGTTTCTAAAATTTTATTTGATTTTAAACACGCCACGCTCTCGCACGTACATATCGTACCAACCCTGGGAAATTTCCTATGAATACTGAATACTGAATTTGTATTGACGTAATATTATAAATAGTAGCGCATTTTCGCTCTCTTTTTGAATGTGCACACAGGAATATTTTTGTGTGTGATCGTGTTTCTCCCATCTAAACGTGTGTATTTGGGGTAAAGAAGTTGTGGTGGTATTTGGCTCAACGGCAACTGTGTACGGCTTCCAGTACAGTTTTGGTGTTGTTTCATCGAGGAAAAACATTCGAACAAAATATCATGTGTTGAAAAATATACGGGCACTGTGAAAACTGGGGAATTCATGTTATGTACAGTGTGTACGGCATTTTATCCAACGCCACCAAAGTGATGTGACCAGTGAATAGCGAACAGCCAACATGAACGTTTGCATGCGCATTTATTCTATGAAATGCTACAAAAGCACACACAAGAGAAAATAAGTAGAATGAGTTGATGTAGAGATTTGGTGTGTGCGACAATTGTAAGGAATATTGCATTTTATCCTTGTTGTTTACAAGAAGAGAGAGCAAGAGAGTAGAGGAATACCGTTTCACAATACCAAACAGATATTATAAAAATCAACAGGAGATGCGTCAAGCGTGCACATGGGCCTGTACGAACATTGAATACATTTCCAGTAGTGTGAACCCACCTGCGATACATATTCTTGTGCGCGTGTGTTCGGCTATGTGCTGGATGTTTTTATTGTGGCTTGCAAGTGTGCTTTTGTAATATATTTAATTTGATTTGATTTTATTCCATTTTATGAACATGTTACAAGTTTTGTTACGAATACTCTAAAAAACCCCGCCAAATAAACAACAAGTTAGCGTCTGAAGCGCGCATTATTGCGGTTTTATAACCACAATTCCACAATGATGACAACAATATCAGTAAACGAGAAGAAAAAAAACCGAAACCATCCAAATCTGACATTTCTTTTGCTTTTTCGTCGTTTGTTGCATGACTCTATATTTCTTCATTCTTCCCTCACTCTCTATCATTCGTGCGCACACATGCACACTCTATTTCTCTTTCTATTTTTCTCTGCAATCTGTTTGAAGGTGCAAGTCGGATGTGCAGAAATATGGAAAAAGTGAAATGAATGAATCGCAAAGATATTCCATATAGGCAATTGGCGCGAACACAGTGACAGATGTACATTGACATTATTTGCCGACCGACCAGCGCAGTGTTTTTCATTGTTTCATTTGGATTAGTTGGTTTTCTCTCACTGCTATTCCAATTTTATACTCTTGCTATTTTGCTTGTTTTCACCCTTTTTGAGCACAAAGTGCAGATATGTGGGCGCGATACGCAAACAGCTCGCTCACAAGGCTTCATCTCCGCGTGGATGCTGTAACTGGTGTTCGAGTTATGTTCGTTTGAAGCGACCACATGAGTAAAATCTCACTAACGCACTGAACAGAAAAAAGAACGTTGTTCCGTTTGTGCATATGATCGTCTGTGTGGCTTTTGTTCGTTTGGCAAAGCATTTACGAATTTAGTTTCCTTGAGTTGTTTTTTTCTCTCCAGCATTTGTCACTTTCTTCTCTTGAAGAGCAGCATTTCATCAGTGCCACCGTTTTGTTTCTTCGGTATTTGACATGCTTATACTGTCGCAAAAACGCGGGAATGCATCATATTCCAAATATTATGCTGTAACTTTGCTTTATTTGCAAGGGAAATACGTTAGCGAGCGAACACTTTATACCAATCTTGTATATATATATATGGGTGTGTGTGTGTGTGTGTGTAAGTAATATAAATGAGCGTTTTATTTTGAACGGCATTGTACAGAATGTAAGTACAGACATACTTGTAGTCGAATAAGAGCATCATTATCAATTTCATTTTTCTTTGCTACGTCAGACAAATACTTGACTGCATTCGTGCACATTCGTTTCATTCAAGACTTTCTTCTCTCTGCTTTAATTTGAATGGATGCACCCAATAGAAATATCGGCAACAGTATTCATTGAAAGTGTATAAGCTGTTAAGTTAGTTCTATGTTGTAAAATGAGGCTATTCACATTGATTGACACTGCATAAATTTTTGCAATCACGGTTAGCAACGTATAATGAAAATATCATGTAGCGAATCCTTTGCACATAATTGAAACATCAAAAGCCACTAATCGGATGCATTTCTGACAATAACTGAATCGCGAAATAGTCGCGAAGAAAATCGTTCATATTATGGAAACCGATCGAAAACGCAAGAGCAAAAAGAAAAATAGGTAATTAAAGTAGAGAAGTTACAAAAAGATATAAACTTTTGAACTATGTTGCCAGAAATACAAACGATATTTTTTTTTAATGAAACCGTGTTGATTGGAGCAATCCAAGCCCACAATATTTTGTGTATGCTAGCATTTTTATTTTCAATGAAAAACGGAAAATCTTAATGGAAAACGGCACGGAGCTAACTTTTTTGCGATAGTCTTTCACGTTGCAATGAAGTGACCAATGTAACAATGCAACAGTGAACACTGCACATGAACAGTGAACACATGGATTAACAATCAAGCCGAATCGCTATATAGTGCTAATGACCCATTCGTATCATTTCGACGTCATTGCAATTGTACCTGCGCTTACGCCTGTGAACAAAAACTGTGCAAAGTAGAACTGATGGTCGATTGCCTCTCGGCATCTATTTGTATCCCCATTTTCATGATTCCTACTCCACATGCACAATTATCTATTAAGAGTTTTACAAACATTTTTTTTTTCCTTTAGCAATGAGAGACGTAAAAAGGAGAAGTGGACAATCGTCCAGATTAGAGAGTTTTGCCTCTTGGCTTTCAATTCATATCTCAACAGTTCGTGTTCGCATTCTTTTCTCATAATCGTTCACGTTGTCTTTTTGGTCTCCAATGGCGATGCAGCCGAAATAGAAATAGAAACTGTCATTTCAGCACTTGCCCAACTTCAGAACAAGGCTACCGATTCATACGATTGCTGTTCGCTTCCGTTATGCGGTTACTTTATCTTATTGATGGTATTCTCTTGCTAACGCTCGTGCCTAGACATCGTAGGAAAAGAGCATAAATACATTCCATACGGCACACAACTATGGTATTCAGCTGGTGAATATGCGATAACAGAAATGTTTTGCATGTTACTACTTGTAAGTCGGTACATAACATTGTGTGCGCGCACATATTTTACTGCATCGCAAACGGAAATGTGACATTTCAAACACATATTCGTGTGCATATTGATATAGACCGCATTATGAATGCTAATACAGTGAATCGAGTTCATGTGCACTGTTTCATTTGCGAACAAAATATATATATATATATATATATATACACTACCGTGCAAAAGTTTGGAACCACTAGGTATTTTTCATACAAATTGACCATTTTTGGTGGACTCATTGGAATATTTCGGAAATACCTGCACCCTTGATATTTTGTGCATAGTTTCTACAACGTTTCAATAGTAAATCACAGAGGTTTCATCAAAAAATATTCATGTAATTAAAAAATATATCAATTTGAATTTGATCTGTTTTAATCTTCATACAAATTTGATCATTTTTCATACAGTACAAATGAACGCGTGAGCATAAAAACGACTTATTAAACAATCGCCGAACAAAACGATACAAGAAAAAACTACCAAACAAAACACACGTTAAAAACGTAACACAGCAGGACTGTACCGTTCAAAATGAAACTCCGCTGTGCTACACATTACCGCTGTGGTACGTTTTGTTCGGTAGTTTTTTCTTGTATCGTTTTGTTCGGCGATTGTTTAATAAGTCGTTTTTATGCTCACGGGTTCAAATTCAAATTGCTATATTTTTGAAATTCATGAATATTTTTCGATGAAACCTCTGTGATTTACTATTGAAACGTTGTAGAAACTATGCACAAAATATCAAGAGTGCAGGTGTTTCGGAAATATGTTAATGAGTCCACCAAAAATGGTCAATTTGTATAAAAAATACCTAGTGGTTCCAAACTTTTGCACGGTAGTGTATATGTATATGTGTATGCATTTTTTTGTGTATTCAAGCTCAATCCAATTTATGATTGTCACCCGTAGAAATAGTCAAATTGTTTGGTTGTGCCTCGCCTTGTTATGGTTTTTCTTGCTTTTGTTGGTATTGTTGAGCTGTCTCGCAAAGAGTTCGTCAACTTTGCTGGGATCACCTCTATTTTAAGCGAAAATCCATGCACTCAACACACATACATCAAGATTTAAAAGATGAGGCTAAAAAAAAACTATAGGATGATTTGGTCCTCAAGCAATTCATGGCCTACTTTGAGAGTATTAGTGCTGGGTATTTTAATAAAATGGAAATCGTGTGCTCTTAACAACCACAGAACTATGTCATATTTGCTCTAAATAAAAGTAGCTCGGCGTCGCGCGCGTTCAAATGGCGCATGTATATTGCCGTTTGTATGGAGGGAAGTAATTATTGTAAATTTACTTTGGTAAAATTTGTCTGTTTCGTATTTCGTGTGTCCATCATTATTTTTTTTTGCGTTCATATCACGCAGTTAGAATGCCTGATGCTTGCTCCCTCTCCACAAATGCATATTTAATGTACGTTCAATGAAATTGATTATACATTTAGCTTGCCGCGTTTCATTTATAATTCTTCGATTGGCTTTAATTCCCTTCCAACAGTTTTGAATAGCAAAATGGAACAAAACAACAACAACAGCAGCAACAACAGAAGAAAACCAACAACAATGGGGAAAAACTGTTCATGAATTTTTGCTCCATACTCAGTCATACCGTACATTTCATTCTGCGGCTTATACCGTAACTAATCGCTTAAAGTCATCCACTGCCACTGTAGCAGAATATTAGTACATAGTTGGCGCACATGCTCAATATTTTTATATTTACGTACTACTTTAACTGCTACTGCTGCTGCTGCCACAATACAGTTCACAGTCAACAACTGATTCTCCATAGTAGCTGTTGTGTTTTCGCTTCATCTCTGTTTTTCACATGGTTGCGCTAGAATGAGACAGCAAGCGCTCACATCGTTTTACTGAACTGTCAAAAGAAATTTTTTTAGTACTTAACAATATCGTACATTGACAGTTCTTTTAACATATCTATCTCACTCCGTATATTATTGTCTCTTGCTTCTGTTGGTTTGTAAATCATTCAGACTGTGTTTTCGGTAGTGGAAAGTTAGTTGTGCTATGGATTTCGATTAAAGAATATTAAATAAAAATATCAAAATTTACCACAAATGCATCTTGAGCACGAGTCAAAATAGCAGACATTTGCAGGATAAGCGAGTGAAATAATAAAAAGAAGAGAGCAACAATAAATACACAACAAACAAACACACGAATCAAATAGAACTAGAGACGGCTATTCCAATTTTATCGAGCACAAATAATAAACAACAGCATTTGCAATTTGTCGCAAGGATTTGACAATGGTACTTTCATCGTTTAAATTTTTTCAATTTTCCGCATTCCAGATGAAATTTATCACTTTTGTTGTTTTCATTGTATTCGCATACCCACCCAAACTATTTGAAAATTGTGTGCTTCGGTGACATTTGTAGCTGAATATATCATATTTCATGTAGATAAAGACTTTCGCTATGTGTTTCACATGAAACTGAAGCGATGCTGCCAAAGCGTAAAATGTAGGTTGTGTACGATGCTCGACTTTCCAATTGTTTTTTTTTTTTTTTCTGTGTGTAGTTACATCTATTTGTGTCAAATTAATTTTTTTTAAATACTTTTTATAATAATTTTTGGCGCATTCGCCTATGGTAGTTGACAGAAACGAAAACACAATTATATCTATGTAAATGAATAGCAATGGGATACAGTTGTGTTGGCAACGAAATTACAACAAATAAAGTGACTGGTAAAAAAAAAACTCATAAAATATATATCGAATGTCACAATGGTAATTGTTATATTAATGCACGTTGGTTTCACAATAGCTCGTGTTAGGAATTTTACATTCTTTTAAATGTATTAAATTATCGCCATTCAATTTTGAAAAGAAACACTGAGGCAACTAGCAAATAGAACAAGAAATAATTTTTTAAAAAAATAGCCGGGAGACTATTAGACGATTACACCTATACAAATACGAAATATATTCTAAACCGTAGAAAATCGTGAATTTCCGATTTATTATTAAAATTGATTTTACAACAACTTGGCCAGATGGCTGCCAAAGAAATAGATAACTGTTGTTCTGTGGTAATTAGAATACCTTCAAAATTACTGCTAATCTATAAATACCGCTTAAAATTACTTATCTTCATCCACATACTTTACATAGTATCAACGTGTTTTCACAAAGTTGTTCACATTTTTCGTGGTGCTTTTCAATCACAGTATAACAATATCACACGATTGAAAATAACATTGAAAATGTTTAGATTTAGATCCAGGGTTTATTGACAACAACAAAAATAGATGCACTCTGTTCAAACAAATGGAGACGTTCCAGTTGGAAATAACCTTTCTCTTGAATTCCAAATTTCAAAGTACGTTTATCGTGATCGAAAGGAATAAAATTTAGGTCTTTTGAAAAATTCATTAAGAACAAAAAAGACGTTTTCATCGGGCTAATTATAATATGACAAAATAATTTATCTATTCACTCAAATTTTTCAATTACAGATATTCTCGCTTGCATTGAAATTGATCATTTTTAACTGGTTAATTTGCATAAGTAAACTTAATTAAGAATTAGTATTAAAGAACAATGTGTCGGTTCATTAAATCTACGTGTAGTTCGTGTGATGATGCGTTGACTCATTTGTTTTTCACTTCAAGTGGTATGACTTATAAACATTTATTGAAAGTCTTGTGAGTACTCCTCTGTGGATAGTGAAAATAATTGTGATTTTTTTCCACCCAAGAAAATAATTGTGATTTTTTTTTTTGTTGCACACCCAAGCTGTGACTAATACACATACCGAAAAATGAAATGATTAGATGTCAACAGATAAGATGTGATTATCTAGGATAATCGGTGAAGTTCGTTTGATTCCGTTTTGAAAGTATCGTGAGTAATTATGTCACTCCTCTGTGGATACTTTCTCTCTCTCTCTCTCCCTCTCTCTAACTCAGTCAACACTCAAAGTTTTATTTTTTATATAGGGTGTACCATGTTCGGTTTCCGGGGATATCGAAATAGAAACGAAGAAATGGCAATATTGAATTGTCATTCAAAATGGGCATATCCGTATTTCAATATCTAAATACACTATAAATATAATTTTCATTTGTTTTTTTTTTGTGTCGTATTTAAAAAATCCCGTGTGCAGAAAATGGCTAACTAACTGTGCTAATATAACCGAAGTCGATTAAATTTTTGTTTTGTATGGAGACAGTCCAACATCAATCGGCTGACTCAATAGATGTTGTTTCCATCGTTAAATAGAACTGTCCAGAAACTTGCACTTGAGTAGATTCTGAGATCAAAAATTGGGTAGATTTTGAAAGCAAAAAAAACTCGTCTATCACATAAGTAAAAGAAAATATTACAGTCAAATGTGGGCGTTTTAAACTATTTGTAAGTATTAATTACTAATGTGTATCAAAGGCACGTTTAAAGCATCGCCTGTATTATGGTCATCAGTGCAATCAAATATGCCTTACAATCTATAGAACATTTCGACCGCATTCATGCACATGATTGCATTTGAATATATGAATGTCCGAGAATGAAAACGCAACTTCTATTCACAACACATATAAGTGAAACAAAAATAAAATTTTTATTGAAATGAAACAACAAAATCGAATTTTTTCAAAGTGTAACAACAAAAAAGATTTTTTCAAAGTGTAACATCGGTATGTAGTAAGTGTAACAACATAACGATGTTACACTTTAAAAAAATCTTTTTTGTTATTACACTTTGAAAAAATTCGATTTTGTTGTTTCATTTCAATAAATTTTTTATTTTTGTTTCACTTATATGTGTTGTGAATAGAAGTTGCGTTTTCATTCTCGGACATTCATATGTGACTTTTCGCATTAAAGTCTTGTAGCTAACCATGACTGAACATAACTAATTTGGGACATTTTGACTGGCTAAAATGATTGTCACGAACGAAATAGACAACTGTAGTTAATAGACAATTTCAGTCAAAATTTTTGACTCAAAAAAAAAAACCAATTATAAAAAATTAACTACAGTTTTCTCGATATAATCATTTTTAACCAGTCAGTAGTCAGACTGAGAGTTAGTCAAAGAGTAAGAAATTAGTTATGTTCAGTCATGGTTGGTTACATCATTTTAATTTGGGATTTGCTTTGACTTTTGTTCTGCATTTCATACGTATCCGAATGATTCTAATTTGATTGCTGCGTCATATGAAGGTAAACCCGTTCTGTCGATGATTTTGCTCATGTCCATTCGAACGATGCCGTTGTCGCTGAGAACATCAAATTCGACGGGTGAATCCTGACATCGTTGATGCGTACATTGACATTGGTCAGATCGTGTTTCCATTCTATGGATTCCAATAAATTCGAAAATGAAGCACAAAATTTACACATGTAATTTATGGCAATTGGCAACTTATAGTATTAAAATCGCTAAAAAAAAATTATTCTATTCAATACATGTACGTACCCATACCCATACCTTTCTGTATTATTATTGGTGTCCAAAGTATTATTCTCATCCGTTGAAGTGGTTAAGTTGTTGCCATTCACTTCTTCTACTTCTCCCGGAGTAGACGTTGTATTTGCGCTAGTGTTTGTGATATTGTTACCAACACTGTTGCAATGTTCCAAACAATTGTCGACACAGCTACAATCCTTTAGCACACTGTATCAACAATTTGAAAATACAATATAAAGAACGAGAATTGAGTGAGTTTCTCTTTGAGATGTTAAAATTAATTAAGTCACAACAACAGCCGTTGAGTGGATTTCTAGTAAACTTGAAACACTCAAGCGGATTAAGAAGGGATAAAGTGTGGAGCAAAAGAAAAATATATATGAAAATGAATACCGGCAGCAAGTATTTTCATTGCTTGTATGAGCCAGAATGCAGCAGGTCGAAGGAGGCTCTTGGCAGCCAGCGACTTCATTGCCATTATCATCGTAAATGTTTGAATCAGTTGGCTGATTATTCTATTCACACGAAATGAACAAGATATAAAAAAGGACGATTAGATTAAATGGATTTTGATGGTTGGTCATTGGCTTCGGTTACCATCGTGTTTTCGATTCAATTTCTCAAAATAAAAAAAAAAAACAACACCAACAACAAAAAGATTTTATCAATAATTTATACAAGTTTGCTCACCGCATCTGGTTTTGCGTTAACATCGTCGGTCATTGGATTCTCTCTAGGGCTCTCAACAATGTGCGCGCTATCGGTTGGTGACTGTTCCGGATTTGATGATCGGTTCAATTGCGAGTGTTCGCAACATTTAGTCGATGTGCATATTTTTGCGTACTTCTTTAAAATGGCTTTTTCGGCAGCCATCACATCCTCATACGACGGTGGTAAAACACTCTGGGCTGATTGCGTTTCGCATAGCGGTGCATGTGCTTCCGTTTCTCCATAAAACTGTGTGGTTTATACATGTGTTGTTTAAAATGATTCATTAATAATTGATGGCGAATCTTCTTCACAATTCATTTCTATGGTACGCATAGGGTATTCCCTTGAATTTCTTATTTTATGAGGATTACACTCACAAAAAATGTTTCCCTTTACCTGTTCAACGGTGTAAATATCAACGTTTTGATTGTTTGCTGCTTCCATTAAATGCCGTCGATAAAGTGCCATTGAATTTTTGTTAATAATCTTGTTGAAGCAGTAGCACACCACACACAACAACGTGATCGCAAATGATAGAAATGCGCTGCGCGTTTATATATATATAAGTATGTGTATGTGTTTGCGTATTTCGATGAGAAGCGATAAAACATAGAATAAAAATTAACAGAACTTTAAGTGCTTTGGTGCATTAAAACTTGACCTATAATTTTCAAATGTTTTTATAATTCGCATTATCAAAGAAAAAAGGAAGAGAAAAAAAAACAATCCCAATAGAATCCATTTTCCAATCTACGATAATCATTTTTCAACCACCCCAAGCCAACACGAAAATCGCTTCGGATAAAAATGTTTCTGAAAGGATGAACCGAATTGTCATTTTTCCATACCATACACGCTTTCCACGTTGGCTATGGCTCATTCAAAGCTATCAATTATTTTATAAGTCTTCAAGGCAAAACGATGTGATTGGTCACAATCACCATAAGTATGGGTGTATGAATGAATGCGATAATACACGAAACTGAACTTTTGTTGTTCAGTGTTCGGTTTTTCGTGATAGTTTGATTGCTTTTTCTTTTCTCGCGCGTGGTCTCTCTGTCTCTCTTTCTCTTCATCATTATGACTGATTGACGTTAGCAATTGTGGAAAACAAAGCTATGTGCTCATGCTTGTGCCTGTGCCTGTGCCTGTGTCCAGTAAAAATGTATTTGTTTTCCAAATTTCTAATAAATCTGTAGTGCACAAACATGACGTGTATTAATGTTTTAAAATTAGTCACATTTGCCACCCCTTGGACTCATTCAAGTGTTATTTATAACCGTCAAAAATGAGGTTGTTTATTATTATTCAATCTTTCGATTGAAAAACCTCGAAAATCAAAGGGTGCCGATGATATATACCCTATCAATGAAGACGGTAAAAAAAAATCTTCTGGTGAGCCATAGCCATAAATCCGAATTCGAATTGTTTTTCTTCTCATTTGTAAAATATTTAACAACTGTAGTATGGCATTTGACACAGTCAAAAAGAAAATTAAAACATATAAACTCACCCTCCAATAAAAACGTTGAAATGTTGCTGCAGATTAATACCACGGTCGAAATTGGTTTCATTTTGCTGGCGCTCATAATAAATTGTTCGATTGCGCATCATTCCGTGAGAGCTAACGGCTGATATAATTGCCATCCTTTGTAATGACATTTTGTATTTTTTCGCAGAAAAAAAAAAAACCAAAATCAAAATCACCGATGTCTCACTGTCCCGTAATTCACTGAAAATAACAATTATCTTCTTCTTGCATCAGATCAAAAAAAATAGAATCCAATGGGAAAAAAGCACAAATTTTAATAAGTTAATTAGAAAAATGGTCGACAACAAATGAATTTCTTTGTGACTGAATTACGGTTATTGCGTATCAGATTCTAATCCAGCTGGGTTTTCTATGACCGTTCAAGTGAAACGTTTCTCACCAACTAGTCACCGGTTTACGTAAAACTAATCATTCTTTATTCATTCCTTGTTGAAGTTGATTGGTGTATGTCGTCAACGAAAGTAGAAAAAAACATTTTTCCATTTTCATTTATATGGTAGTGCACGCAAAAGGACTCCTTCTTTTCGTTATGATTCGCCCATTTTAGTACAAGCAATGGACAAAACAATAGTGTATATATTAGTTAAAAAATGATATTGTATTCGTGTGTTTCCTTCCTCTCTCACTCGATTTCTCTCTCTCTCTCTCTCTATTCTGTGTGTGTGCTGCCGTACAATAATGTGGACGGTTTTTCCAATAAAGCACACGTAATTACTTTCAAAGCTTTTTATTGCTACATTCAATCAACTTCATCAAACAGAAATTTTACTTTCGGCAAGTTATCTTTCGACATCAAAAGTCAATAGATTGTCGTTTCTTATAGAAAATCGTCTGATATACAGTGGCCAACTAATAATAACTAATATTTCATATTATATCAAATCATTTACGTTAAAATAACTCAATTAAAATGCCATCATGGGAGTTGGAAGACTGAAAAAACTTTTATTTTTGTAAGTTTATCAGTTTAAGTGAGAGGAAAATTCAAATTCAAGTACACACAAAACTACATGATCTATTTTCGATATATTCAGAGCATATGCACACCGAACCGATAAATCTTATTCGATTGACAAAATTGAATGAAATTCGAAAGAAACAGTGAATTAAATTATTCGTTAATACTTTGTCACGATATTTATTGGAATTTATTTTTTCCTCATATAGGTTTCTAGTCAAAATACCGGCTAAACACAAAATGACGGCATTACCAACATCATTGCGACGCACGCTGCTCGCTCTATTGGGCTTCACAGTAACGATCTTCATAATGGTGTTCTATTGGAATCAGAATCCACCACGACCAGCAGCGCTAATGAATTCGATTTTCACGAAAGTTGATGTGCCAACGTATGTGCGCTTTCACAATCATTCCAATTATTTAGATTTATATCGTTTCGAAGCGAATTCTAAAGTATTATTCATTTATATAGTAATCGTTTAACGTGTTCGTTCTCTTTTAGACCGCTGGAAAAGGCTTGGTCTTACAAATGCGTTGGTGATCGCTGCGTTCGGGAGCATCATTTAGCTGGCACGAAGCGTATACCTTTCATGAGCTGTGCCATGATATGTGGCACTTCAAATATATGGCCCATGCCCACCGGAAAAGTGTCTCTTAGTAGTCGATCGTTAACATTCAAATCAAATCAGCTGCAGTTCGATATAAAGACAGCATTCAGTGAAGCCGAACAAATGTTGAACAGTGCGTACGATGTGTTCCTGTTCGATCTGAAATCACTAGAGGAACAACACACTCGCACCAGCAGCCAATCTAATGATGTAGAAAAAAACAAAAACAAAAACAAAAACAATCAACAAATCAATGGCGAAAAGTCGGCCGATGATAATGGCCAGAAGGCAGATAGTGCAAAAATGAAAGTAGATGAAAATGCAAATCAGAGCTGTGATATTAATAAATTTATTATAAATGCCGAGATTCAAACGATGGGAGACGTTTTTTTACATATGGATGTGGATGAAAGTTACGAACTAAATGTGACAAGTATGGTTTAAAGCGATACCAAATGAACCAAAAATCATTATTAAAACTAATTTTCACCTGGTTGTTCATTTTTGTTCGCAGATACCAATGGAAACATAATACATATTCAGTTAAAAGCGAAATCATTTTTCGGCGCTCGACATGGTCTATCAACGTTGCAGCAATTGATTTGGTTCGACGACGAAGACAATCTACTTAGAATCATGAGCACCGCGCATGTTATCGATGAACCGAAATTCAAGTGAATATTTTGACATTATAAACCATATTGATATTGACTATGTATGTACGTAGATATTGCATTATTAACCCTTCGCTCTTGTTGTCTCAAAACAGATATCGTGGTTTTATGCTGGATACATCACGAAACTATTTCTCGGTTGAAACAATAAAGAGAACTATTGTTGGCATGGCACATGCTAAACTCAATCGATTCCACTGGCACATAACCGATTCACAAAGTTTTCCGTACATGTCAAAAGCATATCCACAGTTGGCCAAATACGGAGCATATTCGTCTAAGGAGATTTACACAGCCGATGATATTAAACATATAACCGACTTTGCACGTATTCGGGGCATTCAAGTAAGAATATTTGGCCAGTGATTTTACCAGTGTATCTTTTTGTAAAATCAACTTATTTCGATTCATTTCCATAGATCATACCGGAAATTGATGCGCCTGCACATGTTGGAAATGGTAACATATTGACGTTTAAAGTTTGAAGTTTTAGGTGAAAAACTGGTTTTTATTCTGTTTCAATTCAATGTTTGCTTTACCATTTAGGTTGGGATTGGGGACCAAAATATGGAATGGGTGAGCTCGCCATGTGTATTAATCAACAACCGTGGAGTTTCTATTGCGGTAAAATTACAAAACAAACTATGAATACCTCTAAATAAATTCATCAAACGGGCATCTGTTTGTTACTTAAATAGGTGAACCACCATGCGGACAACTCAACCCTAAAAACAATCATACGTACACGATTCTTGAGAAATTGTATAATGAATTGATTGAATCGACTGGATCAACTGATGTCTTCCATCTTGGAGGTGATGAGGTCAATTTGGAATGCTGGAGCCAGTATTTCAATGACACCGATTTGCGTTCGCTGTGGTGTGATTTCATGCTACAGGCATATCAAAAATTGAAAAAAGCCAACAAAAATACTGCGCCAAAGTTTGTTCTTGTATGGTCGAGCGGTTTGACCAATTCGCAATGTTTATCACGGCACAATTTTGCAGTTCAAGTGTGGGGTGGTAGTACGTGGCAAGAGAATTATGACTTGATTATGAATGGATTCAATGTGATAATATCACACGTTGATGCATGGTATTTAGACTGTGGATTTGGTAGCTGGCGATCGACTGGTGAAGGTGCATGTTCACCATACACAACATGGCAACGCGTATACAAGCATCGTCCTTGGAACCGCATGCACTTAGATCCCATCAAAATGAAACAGGTTTGTTTTAAATCCAAAAGAAAAAAAAAACCAGTGGGAATTTCAAACATTTTGCTAAAATCGATTTGTGACGCTTTAGGTGCTTGGGGGTGAAGCTTGCTTGTGGACTGAACAAGTGGACGAAAGCAATGTAGATGCTCGTATTTGGCCAAGAACTGCAGCTCTCGCTGAAAGGTATGTCAAAGCTGATGATAAAATAATAAGCTGAAGATAGACATATTAACTATGCTTTCCTCTACCTTCAATGTAGGTTATGGTCGGATCCAAGTGATAGCACCGATTTAGATTTGGTTCCAAAAGAAACATTTAGCCGCCTCTCAATATTTCGTTCTCGATTGGTTGAGTACGGCTTAGAAGCAGAACCATTGTTTCCGAAATATTGTGCCCAAAACCAAGATGAATGCTTGTGATTTTAATAGTTTTTCATTTGTGCGTTGCGTTCAAATCATAAATCCATCAATGTCCGTTATTCATTCATAGCGACACAAACGTTCGAAGCTAGTTATTTGTTTTTTGTTATTAAAACTGATTGGAGGCACTAGATGCAAAGCGATATATGCGATAAAATTAACTTAAGCGCCATTAAAAAATATTTTGAAAGAAAAACACACACACACACAAAATTACTGCAGCATACTATGCAGTTTGATAATGACTTGATGATTGGGTGAGAGCAGAGAATGAGTAGATGTGTAGCAATACTCTTCACAAAGGAAAGTTAATTCGCATTGATTTACTATTGCGTTTAATAACGCGCAAATTGGCAGAGAAGCATTAGCTGACGCCTGTGCGTACATGATTGAATGCAAACCATCCATTCATAGTGTATTTATGTGAACATGCTCACAGACAGACAGACAAACAAACTTCAAATCTTTAAATATGAAATTTCAGTCAGCTATGATAAACCGTTTGGTCTTTGTAAGCATGACCTATGGCTACTACGAAGAAGTACGACATTATATCTTACGCGAGGCGCCGCAAACAAAATCACACTTCAGCTTACCGAATAATGGGATTTCACGTGATATATCGAGGGAACTGCATAGACGATGTTTCGGTAACTAACAAATCGCTAAATCAAGTGAAATGCTCCATGTACACATGTGAAAAAGACTTAGGGCACCAGATGTGTAACGAAAATTGTATTTTTTCATGAAATTTTAGTCTTTTTGATTTTACACTATGCACAGACCGAACAGCTTATCATAGCTGGTAGAAATTGCATTTTCAGAGAGATTTGAAGAAATGTATTAGTAATATTCCACCCAATTGTTACGTCATTGTCGAACTACCTAGTATTTCCCTCCAAAACTATTATTATTTCTATGTTCCATCCGACATGTAAAATAGGAAAAAAGGTCAACCAAATTTACTGTCAATTTCGAATCATTCTTCTCTTAACTAATATTGTATCAGTATTTTTTTTTCGTTTGCATAATCGAAAGTCCCATTTTCCGTTTCGGAATTTACGTCCACATACATTACTAAGGTTTTTGTGACTTTGATTTTCTCTTCGAAACATATTCCGTTACGTGCAATCACTTAATGGGTATTTTAAAGGCATTTTTTAAAGCCAAAATGTTTATTGCTAACTCAAATCTATTTATTTCCTTTTTTGTTCTTCGTTTTGTTGAGAGAAAAAAAAAACAATCAACTTTTATCGTTTATATCTTTTTTGTGTAAATGTTAAAATGAAATTCTGCCAAGATTTTTCGCAAACAAGGTAACGAATTACAAATAAATGTAAAACTAATGAAACGTTTAGTGGAAATTTGTTAAAGAAAATTTGTTTACGATACAAATTAAGGATTACCTTTTTCTCACTTAAAACAATAACAATATATCATTAGTCTTAGTTTTATGATTCGTTAGATGTAATTGTAAATTTTGTTATCGGTTTAGAATTTCATACAATTCTTTATAGCACTGGTACGACAAATCTCTGACGTTTTCCGCGAGAAATTCCTTGATGTAATTTTTTGTAAATTTTTGTTTTGATGAAAACAAAAACAAAAACAAGGAAACAAATACAAAAAAAAAAACATTTTTTTCTTGCATCGAAATTTGCCAGTGTAATAAAAAAATGATTGTTCGAATTATTATTAAATAATACGGTTCAAATGCTATATGCAGCCAAATAAATAGCATTCTAACGGGTGCAGACATTTTGTATTCAAATCAAAATTATTACCAATCAACAAAATGTTTCATGTAGCAAAGATTTTTTCGACAAAAAAACAATCCAGTTGTGGGAAATATAAACAAAAACAACATCAAAAACGCAAAATAAACCAGACTTAAATTCAAATTTGACTAAATTGTTTTTATTAATTTATCTTAAAATTACATTCTATTTATTTTGTTGACTTTCACAGCATTTATAATTCATTATTCCTGATTCAATGTGCGCGGTTTGAATCCATTTGGAATCACTTGCAACTGCAACTCAAAACAAATAAACCGAATATGCGAAAATGAGATCCCAAAAGAAACGCGGAATATTTTTAAACGGCTTTAAAACGAAACTAGAATATACATTCCAGAATACATTCGGCGTACAACGGGCGTCTAAATATATTTGCCGCTTCTCTTGGGATTTTAGTAGTAAATATACGATCGATGAAAGTACATGCGCTAGCTTTGACTTTAGCTAAACGATTTTATGGTTTTCTCTTCCGTTTCGGCAATTTTTTTTGACAGTTTGATCGCTTCGGTTTCTGTAGTTTCGTAGATTGTTTTTTCGGTTCGACGATTATCTCCGTTTCGGTTGAACAAAAGTTTTTGTATGATAGAAAATGGCATTTCAATTAACATACATACGAAAAATGATAAAGCATAGGATGTTACAAATGCAGACACCGTACTATCGTACTGTGAAAAAAATCAGGGCAAACTAGTATTAAATAATCGAGCAGATTTAAATGGATGAACATGTAAAGTAGATGTTCTTTATGTGGAGAATACACACACACACAATGAGTAGGTAGTATATACTTACCACTTTGAAATCGTCCGCAAAAAATGGATGACGCATAGAGCCGTACGATAGACGTATAACCGATGGATGAATCAAATATGCACCTGTGAAATACGCAGATATTTGTAAGGAAATATTTTTCAAAGAAAGTAAAAAAAAAATCAACCAAAATAGATCGGATTTAATACGCACCGAATGTCAGGCGCCCCATCGTTCGAAACGCTTGCATTCTCAATATATTCTTGAAAACCCCTGAAACCGACATCAACCACCACATGAAAGATTCATAAACCACTGAGTGAAAAATTACCAACAACAAAATGGAACAAGCATTTCTTACATCCAGTATTCAATGCAGATCCAAGAACAAGAGTTGCGCCGAATACTCCCCATAAACTTTTCATGCATGCTGCATAAATAGCAATCCAAATAGCCGGCTTTTCGAACTCATTTGCATAGAAAATGTGACCGGACCAAAGGCCCATAAAAGCGATTGGCAGCAAACTATACCAAAGTATCGGCAGAACCTATTCAATGAAATATAAAATAAATTACATAGTTCAAGAAGTGTCGAAATAAAATCGAGAACAAAAGGCTGACAAACTTTGGACTTGGTTAAATCGATGTGACCCTGTTTGTGTTTGCAATAGAGTAAACCAGCTATCATTCCAAGAACCGAACTACCCATATTTGTGTAGAATGGAATGTAAATCGTGTGGTATTGCTCATCGTACCAATGAGCGTACCTAGTGGTTTCTGGTGCAGCCATGAATGTCCCTTCAAAACGGTATATATAGGTTATAACGGCTGGAATTAAAAATGAAATCGCAAATACAAATGCGAAAATTGGTTTTGTCCATTTGGTGAATTTCCAAATAATCATTTGAACGAGGGTACCAAAAATAACCAATTGATAATCGGTTGCTAAATACCATGCATGTTGCATACACTATAGGTGCGAGAAAGAGATAAAGAAATAAGGTGTGGTTCACGAGGAATGCCATTCAAATGAACTTGATTTTGAAGCATACCGGTTCATTTCCATTTACAAAATTATTAATATACAGCATATTAGTCCACCAGTTGTTGCGGCACGCAAGCCGTTCTGTGTCTGCCAAAATGGGCCAAGATGGACCCTCTCGAAGCTTATACAAAAATGTTGCGTTAAACAGCAAAATAAATGAGTAGACCGGTGTATATCTAATCACAAATTGCAATAGAACGGCATGAATTCGGTTATGACAAATGATTTTTCTCGAATATTTCATTTTACCTCAAATATCTGTAGGATATGGCTTTCCAAAAGAACGAAAATTTGAATTTGTGTTTTTCTCGCAAGTCCATGAATTGTATGGCAATGAGAAATCCAGTGATGGCAAAGAAACTTTGCAGGGCATTTGCGCCGTTGATAATAATCATGTGACTGGTGACGAAATATTTCTGTCAAGTAAAACCGAAAATTAAGTCTCTGAAAATCAAAGTACGACAACAACCAACTGTTTGCATTAGAAATGTATGAATGAATGAATGCCTTACTTGTTCGATGTAGTAGGGGTTTAGCTGTGGGCACATATTGTTTGCCAGTGCACAATGCGCACATATCACACCAAACATGCAGAACGTCCGAAAAGCGTTTATCGCTCGCAGGTCTCTGGACAATTCTGAATTCTGTGTCTCCGTTGTCAGCTTGTACCAATTTCTCGGAAGTGAAAAGCACAGTAACAAGGTCACTGCACAATGGAAAATATCAAAATAGTATAAATAGGCGCACACACACACCGAAGAAGGAAGAACGGCGGAAACAAAAATTTAAAAAAAGATGATTTGATATCAATTTAATTTGATCGTGACAATACGAATGGCTTTTATCGCACTGTAATTGACACCCCATCACAACTATTCGAAACTTGGTTTCGACCAAGGCTAAGCGATAGCATAGCTTAGCATTCAGTATATCTAATTCTCTGCCTAATATACTAGCATATCGCACACACTTCTCTCGCGCGCAAACGGTTGCGTACACAGTAGGTTTTGTGCGGCATTTGTGTATGTGCGCGCGATTGGCCAGTATATTAGCATTAAATATTTACCAAATTTCTGTTATTGACCGTGTAAATTTCATACATATTTCATGTGATACAACTAGTATCATTTATAATTCAAATCAACCCTGAAGCTAATACATAAGCAATGGCTTATGTGAACTATGTAAATTGAATTTAATGAAATGAGCAATGAAAAATAATGGCCAAAATTCGTTTGTACTTGGCCCGGTGACAAATCACATCTTATCCATCAAATTCAATTAAATTTTCATAATTTAGTCATTTTGATTCATTAATTCTCATCATTTTCATTTCATTACTTCTGTAATGTTGTGATCAAGAAGAACAAAATTAAAAGGTTGTAAAGAGCATACGAAAGCACTTACTAGCATTGCCATCAACCGATCGTTTATAGTGCTCACGATTGCACAAGTGTGGCAAATTGTTTCGCTTCAAATGAAAATCATAGCTCGTCGACAACACCACCAAAAGAGCCAAAACAATACAAAGAACGACAAAGAATACATCAAGAGTGTCTGGAAAGGTAAATGGAATCGAATGAAAACAAAAATGTATCATCTGCTTCTAATACCACACACATACCGTTTGTCGTTTGGACTGTATCTTTGTTCGTAATGCAGTATCTTATTTGCGATTGAGCCATTAAACCGTACTGCTTCTTTAGTTCATAGTTTACACATTCGGTAGCATATTGATAGTATCGTGCACGATCAACTAGAGCACGTGTGTGGAAGTTTGGATCCTTATAGATGTCCGTATCGTTGTAAAAATTGTCTATATAGTACGTTTTCCTGGTATCATAATCAAAGTAGTTCATTTGCTTTTTACACCAATCCATACAAATACCACGCGTCAATCGATCATGGCGATACATACGCTTCCTATCTGATGAATATTTCTGTAAATAAAAACAATTTCATCGAATGAAATTAATAATTTAATAATAATGCTAGTAATTATTATATGTTTTCTAGTCGTCAACATTTCCGTTATATTCATGGACGTGCATCCAATGGGCTTGAAAAGATCAGAATATTTGCGCTATGGCATTGCAGTACAAACGCTGCAAAATAAAATGTTTTCTACTTAATTGCTTAAATTCAGAGAGTATAAATAAAATGTCGTTGCAGTCAAAGAACATTTAAAACCAGTGATAGCGCACTTTTTAGATTTCTGCTTTTGTACAGAGTACGAAAAATAATTGATTCATGAAATCCTTGCTAAACAAAAACAATATAAAAGCAGTAATTAAATGACGAAGTGGGGAATTTTTTTTTTTAGCAAAAAATACATAGCATTTTATCTTTTAAAATGAAAATAGAAAAAAAAATTCTTCAAAGAAAAATCGTTTCTTCTATGACATGCTGTTTTATGTAAACTATCTATCAACATTGACTGGGGTTTTCGTGGTGGAATTCAACATTGTAATCAAAAATGTTATGAAATTCTATTCTTCCGTTTTATACTGCTTTTCGTAGTCATGCTTTTTCTCTGTAATTTCAAATGTGATACAGTTATAGAATTGCAAATAGAATCTGGTTAATCAGTTCGTTTGATTGATGATTTCATCTTTTGATAGTCGATAAATTGATATTCACATTTATTTCGCCGTCTGATGATATGAAAAAAATTTTACGAGTGAACAAAAGTTGCATGAGAAATATCCATCGACCAAGTCTTTTGTAAAATGCATTTCTTTTCAAACATCGTCTTGTTTGCTCTAGACGTCTGCATGTTTGTTGCTTGTTTTTTTTTCTTCTCTAACTTGTGAATTTCATTGCATGTTACAGTTTTGATTCATATTCTCACGATTAGTGTGAACAGGTCTATAGACAGATTTTTTTTTTATTTATTGATTGGAAAACAAATTATCTACACTCACGATACAATACTAAAAACAAGTGAAACGCAAGGGGGAAACGTTGGAATAATTCAATATTTATAGATTAACATAGTACGTACGCTGACAATCTGCCAAATCTCAGAGCTTTCATTTGGTTTGATCAATGAGGTGATCATACAGTATGTGGCCTTTGTACCAGGTTTAATATCCAGAAAGCACTTGTCGTAGTCATCCATCCTGGACATCACCGGCATTCGCAGATATTCAGTCACTGTTTGATATTTGAACATTTTCAGTTATTTTTTTGTACGTCAAAATGTTCTTATACATGTACACCCTTAAGAATTACTTAGCAGTAGAATGAATAAAATCTACTATTTATTCATTCATTTATACATTTATGAAATCATGAACAACTTTTACTTGGAGTTAGATCTAATCCGATAAGTGTATGTGAAGAAAACCACTTTAACAATAACAATTCATTTTTTCACATAAGGACACAACTTATTTAACCAAAATAAATTTTTAAATTCGATTTGTCACTCGCTTAAGATGAACATGAAAATCTCACTTGATGCACATAATAAACAAAAAAAAAAACTCACTGTTAAATAGATATGCTCCCACATATTGATTGCTCAAATGGACCGCAAGAAACGAAAGTAGCAGCCTGAGCATGATTACTTTTTCGGTTTTATTCCAAAATTTGATAACAATTTGTAAATAATAAATAACTAAATGAAAACTCAAAGAAATCAATCAAGCACTTGAAAACAATTAGAACAATTCCAAGTAGAAGAGTCTCCGAATTGCTTAAAAAAAAAACAAACACCAGGAGTGTTTTGTTAGGTCGGTTAGAATTCGTCAAGATCGCTAAGAGGACTGATCACTCAAAGCAATGCTGAAAGCATTTGCTCAGAACGGAGTCGTAGTATTCCACAGGAATACTGCAGTTATGTGATTGCTATTGTCTGTTATTAGGAGACTTTATCACCAAGCTGCGATGCTATTTGTATGCCAGATATTGATTGGCAATACATTGAAATGAATACAGTGTTCTCTGTACTCTTCACGTGGCATGTCGATATGGTGTGCTTTAGTAGAAGAGAGTATTTCACGATTGTCGCATTGAAATGAACCGTACAACATATACAAACAAACAATTAGTAGGGGGGGGGGGGGCCCCAACACACAAAACGGACGAAAATGACGAATGGATTTTCCTTAACCCACCCGATAATAACATATCATTATTTCGTTGCAAAACATTGAATCATATATATATCCTCTATATCGGTGTATCCTCTATATATATATATATATATATATATATATATGTGTGTGTGTGTGTGTGTGTAGAAAAAGAACGTTTGGCGCTTCGTTGCAATTAGCTTAAACAAAAGTGAACCGGTGATCTTGTATAGAATTTCGATGCAATGATTATGAAGTTTTGGTCAAAAATTGTATAATAATGTACAAAACCACCTTTTGATCTGACCTTCGGCATCAACGATCCAAATGAGAGTATGTAATTACTTAAACAATTTGCTGATAATTTGTGTATCAGCTATTCCTCCTTCACTTGTTTATTGTCATTCTATGCATCGATGCTCACACCAACTAACTGAGAATAATCTCATTACTTTTCAGACAATTTGATTTGAATGAAAATTACCAAGTTATATTGTTTAGTTGGATTTCATAAATGGTTTTATTTACATTCATTTTGCTTTCGATTAGAATTCATTCAGTCATGAATTTTGACAACCATTTTTTGGCTGATTTGTTGTTTTTTTTTTTTTTAATTTGAGAGTTTATTTCGTGATTTGTACCAAAAATATTAGATTAAGTCGCAATAGACTTGTTATCAGTGCGCGTGTTTCAATCCATACAAAATAAGTGAAACAGTTTTGATACGCGGACATCGTTTGGTTTAGTTTTTTGTTTCTCAACACAATTTGGTGGCAAATCCAGTTGTGTTTTTATACTTATTGATATATTATAATTGCTTATAATTGCTTGCGAGGTACTGATTCGCTAAAAGAATCGAGATGTTTGTCTGTTTTCTTTTTCCCTCTCGCTTATTATTCACATTGTTATTTGTATGCTTACCTCTAATTAGTCCGTAGTATGGTGTTTTTATGATCACGATAAAGACTTTGCGCTGTGATTGCAATGATCGATTATCATAATAATTTAAAAAGTAATTATCATACACACCATTTTGGATCCGGAACAATGTGAAATGGCGAAACGGTTATCTTATTTTGGTGCAAATCATGGAAGATACAAAATAAATTGCACACAATCAAACATCGGCGTCATATCGACATATCGCAAGTACCTATGGTGTCGGTAAATATTCAAGTTCACAAAGTGTAAGTCACAGTCATAGTCAAGAGTAATTAACCCCGTGTGTTCACTTGCGTCGAACAGTTCATTGCGGAGCGCGTGTGCTGGCTGCAATTATCTTTGATGCTTAGACGAATGTCCAAAACAAAGCAATATTACAGCTTTTCTGTTATTATGTCTTTGCAAAGCCTGCCTCAACAACAATTAGTATTTATTGTAACATGCAATACTCCCCAGATGATCTGCCTATATCGATTTTGTCGATTTTTTCAGCGTCAGCGGAGATGGTGGAATAAGTTCGTAGGTAATTCAATTCGTACTATGCCAGTATTGAATGAATAATGAAAAAATGAATCAAAAATTTATTCTTGTTTTATGTCAGAATAAGAAGTTTCGTTTTTTTCATTATTTATTCAAGTTGGTGGTTGATTTGACGTGAGTGCTAAGTGAATTTTTCAAATATTAATCCACAATGTAACAAATTATGAACTTCGCACGTCACTAATAGATTATATAGTTGCAGCAGGCACAACAAGTACAAACAGCTTTCTTTCTAATTCTGTTATCTGAGTGCATCACTTATCCTTTTTCTCAATCACATTAATTTGGTAATAAAAAAAAATACCCGTTCGATCGCACAGAGTAAGTTAAGTAAGTGTAAAAACTAAAAGTAATGCGTCAAGAAATCCAACGATTTGTACGTTTGGCATTACTGCCTTACGACAGTTATTTATGAAATACAGAAAAAAAGCTGGTGTATTCAATTTGTTACGGATTATTTAATTATCAAATTTTGTCTCTATCTCTCTCTCTCTCTCTCTTTCTCTCTCTCTCTCTCTCTCTCTCTCTCTCCTATAATTACCAACATGAATGAATTCTTTTGTATTCTTTTAATATAAGTTAAAAAAAAAAAAAACAAACGACGTATAGTGAACCACGAACTTTCGCCATTCTCATAAACTTTCACTCTTCATTTCGTTTATGGCTTTGAACCAAAGAACATAACGCTCAACAATTACGACTACGAAGAAACCTAGAGAAAAACGTATTAACAGAAATTACCGACAAAAACTGAATAATTGTTTTGACATCGCTCTGCTGTGAAAAGAGTAACGAAGAGAATGCGTTAAAATTAACACCGGGATAAAAAGAGAAAATACATTGGTTCCGTACAAAAAAAACGCACAAATTTATTACATATTTTAATAAATAAGTTGAAATAAGTTAGAGCTTACGTGTTAAAAATATTTATACAACTTTCCAGCGTTTGATCGGTTTGTGTTTGTGTTTCTGAAATACCGATGATTCACTTATATTCAAATCATACCGTTCAATATTGTAATTAGTTCATCTTAATTTCAAAATAAACCTGAATAATTTTGGTTATTATTTATAAATTAATCATCTTAAAATTCTTTGAAAGTATGAGTCGCTCGCTGTTAACACCTATCATCCAATGAACGAACGTTTGTATTTTTACCTGGTTTGATATTCAATTATAATTGTTTTTTACTGTTGCTGTTATATGTTTTTCTTCTTTTTAAATTTCATGATCAATGAATGCTTGTTAAAGATGTCTTGTGTTATAATTAATTTCATCATGTTTAAAATATTTTTGTTTTCCCTATTGGAATGGAATTTCTGGATGAATAATAGGTATAAACAGGCGTGCAAAAATGGTGTGTTTTATTTTCTTTTTGTTGAATTAAAACATAATCCAAATGAAAATGAAGGAAAGATAATAAAGAAAATAAAAACGTCGACATACTTAAAATGGGTTTTATGTAATAATTAATCTTTGCATCGAAATACTGCGGATTTCGTTTTTTATTTGATCAATCAATAGAAGTAACTCTTTCTTTGCACTTTTCAATTTCGATCGACGTCATCATCATCATTGTATGACACTTATTTTCGTCTATTTTGTTTATTCAAGTAATTAAATGGTGTTACAGCGTGTTTGGTTTGTGCCATCACAATGGTAGGCTGTTGATCGCTTCTTTTCTCCATCACTTTGGGTGCGCTGCTTTTGTCGGTGCTACGTCTGTTGCCCAACATAGCGCCAGCATATGGTGTTAAATCGTCACCGGAAAATCCTCGGCCAGAGTGAACATAGCTACCACCAGTACTCCAGGATGGATCAACAGAACTTGAATGACCAGAATGACCTTGCGTATCCCAACCACCACTTCCGCTCAACGTGCTGTACGGAATACTAAAGTCTGGCTTACCATGTGCATTGTGTATATGCAAATGTACATCTTTTTGTGGTCCCCAACCATGACCGTGATGAACTGGCTGCGTCCATCCACCGTGTGGATGTGCAAAATAATGGCCCTGATCGTGTTTCAAGTACGATCCAAATTTGAGTGCAAAAAATGTGATATTCAATACTAAAATCAGCGTTCCGATGAAAACACCCTTGAATGCCAGGAATAATGTCATCATGATAACTGCAGACATCACACCCAATTTGTACATGATGGGCAACAGTGCCGCTTGGAATCTCTTGATTGTTCCGAAGGTTCGACCGGTTTCTTTGAAAAAGATATATAGAAAAATTATTGCATTTTTTCACGTCAATTGGAATATTGTTTGTAGGCCAAATCAAACGAAACGAGCTAGCGACTCTACTATTTCTTTGAAAATTTATTCGCTTCACAATAGCCGAAATCACATAAAGCATTATGACTGGACTGAAATTCTAAGAATTCCACCGAAATCGTTCGGAATTATTTTTTTCGTAGATAAGACCATACATATCTTGAGCATACACCTCGTATAAGAACCAAATTTTCTTGTGGCGCCATCTAGATGGTTTGCGGGGCGCAATGTATTTTAAATTGTTAGCTAAGTTTTTTCAGCTTAGTACAGAACCATTTTTGGCAAAGATACAAAAGCATGCTCGAGGTATGAGACCATATTGGAGTGAAAGAGAGAGATTCCACTATTTTTCAGCTTCCCACCGGAATTATTCCGATAACTCAAGGAAGAGTGGATTAAAACTCAAGGAACAGTGGATTGTGTGAGAAATAATTCCGGTGGGAAGCTGAAAAATAGTGGAATCTCTCTCTTTCACTCCAATATGGTCTTATGTACGAAAAAAAATAATTCCGAACGATTTTGGTAGAATTCTTAGAATTCCAGCCCTGAATAATTTGAGTTAAACAAAATTATGCACTTACCAATTTCATTTGATTTGAATGCTCGATCTTCGGATGCAGCGGTTCCATTGATTATTGCTGCATGCACGTGCACGAATAGAAATGCATAGATTACCAACAGTGTGATAATCTGTTTTGGAATTATCGATCCCATTATTGTTAAGTTTCTTGGGAGTTTCTTTCTTTTTTAAATTTCTGAATCTGTCAAACTTTCTTTCGTCTAATCTGAAAGGATCGTAAAAAAGCGTATGATATTCAGGTTAGTATTCGATTAATTCATATTAACCGCATAAATTTTACTTCCAAGAAAAAGAAATGACCATTGCGATCGAATTACGACACAATCAACGTGTTATTTGTGAAATTTTTTCTGTCGCAAAACATGCTAGGCATCTCAAAGAAATCTCTAGTGCTTGAATGATTGAACAACGTGACCAGAAATATGTCGTACTTCAAATTATATGTATTTATTGTTTTCCCTTCTCATTTCGAAACATTCCAGATGAGTGGTCTTTCTATTGCTCAATTTTGGGTATTCCCATTTATTTAATGACCTTTCAAGCTATAATGGTATTCTAATGGATCAAAACACTTTTCATTTTCATTCCCATGAATAAATTGAAATGATCTGGTTTTTCTGTTGTTCATTTGATTTCCACTTCTTGATTACATTCGTAAATAAAAATGCTTTTAACTGTGACAAAAATGATTATGTGATGAAACGAATTTGAGAAAAACCAAAATTAAAGACGCAATGGAGAAAAAAGCTAATGCGGCTACTTTTTTTTATCTTCATTTTTATCTTTCTCTATCAAAGTCAAAATGATACCAATTAAAATCGGTTACACGCACGCTCAATTATTCACTATAAGAGAATCACGTAGTAATGAACTTTGAGTTGAAAAAAAAATTCGGTCAAATTCTTAACAGCATCAACGTGTGCATCGCCAATGAGTGTTTGTGCTTGACATTTCAACATTCGATCGTGTTTCACTTCTTCAATTCCAAAAAGAAAGAAAAAAAACAGCTTGAGCCGTTCCTTTGTTGTTTGTTATAGATTTTTTTCTTTTTCAAAGTTACATTCGGTTTGATTCGAATTGATTCTTTCACTGTAATTACTATGCCGCACAATGCTTTAGAGATCTTCACCTTAATTTGGAAATGGCCCGATTTACTCCTTTTAAACAAAAAGCAGAATTGAAACAAATAATCACGATATTCTTCACTTTCCAGCACTTTTCTTCTTTGCCCTTTCTAAGATTTCTATTCAATTTCGATGTACTCGCGTTCAAATTGCCTTTAATTGAATTGCGTTCTGTTTTTTTTTTTTAACTTATGGTGCACAAAGTTAACCAATCGAAAAAATTGAGAAAAATCGAGATATTAGGCTGACTGCTTGATAATTTTTTGTTTCTTGATTCGAACTGAAAATTCAAAGACGTACGCTAATCAGCAGATTTTCTGCATAAATGACTTCACTCTGCACCACAACTTGTGATTATATAAATAGTTTTGGTGACCGGTGAAAATTTGGTGCGGTTCAGCGTAATGGTAGGAAAAATGGGAACTTTCTTTCCCAAAATATCAAACAGAACGAAAGAGAAGAAAAATTGTAGTAAAAAATGACTTATCAAACACATGTAACCCGTATATGCTGGGGAATATGGAATATACATGAGCCAAAATGAGAGAAACCGAAAAAGTGAACACAATGAGAGCAGACAGACGGATGGAGAGATGAAATTGCTATCGAGATGAGAAGTGAAACATAACAGTGACATTATTTGTCATTTGTTCTTTTTTCTCCATTTGATACTGTGCATATAAATCATCGTTCCAATTAGATTGCTACAAACATGAACTTATTCTAGGCTGAACGCATTTTCCGACGCAAAAATTATTTATGCCATGGACCCTATGCGATGCCGCGTGCAAATAATATAACTTGAGAAGCATCAGAATGAATGTGGGAAATTCATGGTGATAAACTTCACTGTAAACATGCGGCAAATGTAATTAAGTTCTGTTTTTACTCAACTTGAGCCAAGACCTAAACAAATAATACTTCAATGAAACTTTAGGTGGTTTGTGGTCGTGTACTTTTCACTCTCTCTCTCTCTCTCTCTCTCTCTCTCTCTTATGTTTGTTTTATCGGTGAAACATAAAACTAATTGGATCAAATCTTAAAGAGTGAAATTGGGTCAAAGCAATTATAAGCGGTGCTGATTCGGTGTATACATTTGTTTGATGGGCGTGAATGTGCCTTCGACCGGGCCGTCTGACCGGTTTACTTGTATTCAACCGCATCAACAAAGAGCTCTTATCCAGGGTATTTATTCACTCAGCTACTTCTGCGTAACAATTTCGATCAACACCAATCAAAAATGATCTAAAAACAACAAAACATTATGCCAGCCGGTAGTTATTGATTGCTACACGCCTTTGTACTTGTGCTAACTCATTTACAAATGATCGCGTCTAATTGGATAATTTCCATGTCTCGGCTCTATCACGCTGGCATGTTAGATTTTGACGAATTCATTAACAATTCCACAAGTCAAATGTGATTTGTTGATTTGACGGAAAGTGTGTGCGGCACAAAATGAATAGAGAAGCATCGGAGATAAATCAAGTGAAAAAATGAATCGTAAATTTTAAGCTATGTGCTGATTTTTTCGATGATTTATTAATTTTGATTGTTAGTAACCAATGACGCACGCTGTTGGCGAGCGGCTTATTACATTGAATCATTCATTGATGTAATACATTTCAGGACAGCAGGAACGATATGAATTTGCCCGATAATTTGATTTGATTATTGAACTTTTGCATTTCTTTTCGTTTTTTTTTGCTCACTTTTTCTTAACTCGAACTAGGAAATGGACAGCGAACACGTAACACCATTCAAATCACTCAAATAATTTCTAGCATGAATAATATTTTACAGAGAAATTAAATGAAAATGCCGTGCGAACATCAAATCAAAACCACTTTTTACCCAAATCAAGCTCTGACGATTGCGGAATTATATCATTGGTTCTTATGTTGCATCATTACGACTGTTATTGTAAAGATAAGAGTGCCACATTAGCATTTAAAAGCAATCTTAACCGTTCGTTTTTTTTTTAACTACTACCTAATTCTTTTCCTTCTTGCGATTCAAAAATAACGTAAGATTCATTTTCATCTCGTTTGTTATAGACGTGAAATGGTTTTGTTTCTTTATTGTTTCGATTGATGATGTATTCTCTGCTATTCTCATTCAAATGGTTTACATTTCTTATCGCTCAGTGATTTTTGAATGTTCGCGGTTGGTTGATTCGAGGAACAGTTGTTAATTTGTTTTGAAACCTATTTATTTTGGCGTAGCTTTTCCATACCGATTGATTTTTATCAAGAACACGTCGATGTGTCATCGTTAAAGACTAATAAAAAAAAACTTCACATGCCCATGAGAAGAAAAACCGGATTCTAGAAATCCAAATATCATGCCCATGTCCATCCACATATAGGTACCCTTTCAAAAGATAAACAAAACTCACTTGTGTGAAGACAATCTAACCATTTTAACGAAACATAATTTTTATTCTTTAACTCTTCTTCTCCCATTTTTATTTTTCTACGTTTTTTGTTTCATTTCGGTGTTATTTTTTCTCAAGTCATTTCGTGCATTATAATTTTATTGCTCTCTGGCAACTCACAAAACAACCTTAGCGTTTGCATTCAATTCATCCATTTATATGCGTTGAAAAAAATGCTTGTGGATTTAAACAAAGATTGTTAATAATCTCTGGTGAATGAACATTCAAAGAAAAAAAAAAAGTGCATTCCTTTTCATAAACTAAATAAAAGTGTGCGTCGAGTAATTGGGTCATCGCAGTATTTCTATTGGATATGGGTCACTGGAACGAGTTTAAGCTTCGAATTTTCCGTTTTTTGTTTTGTTCTTCAAAAAATTCATAGAATATTTGAAGAAAAATAAACATATTTTGTTTACTTAATTTCTTATGCGTATTCTCCACAAGACAATGGATTGAATAAACAATCCATTATATGGATATTTCATCACACATTTTACGTTCACATACGCACCAAACAAAGAATATTGCCACAATTCGAATAATACACGCCTCGAAATGCCGTAAGGTATCTATAACTTTGTATAAATAAAACAAACACCGTTTGGATTCCGAATCAAAAATCTGATTGTCATTCAATTGACAATGCTTAGCAATGCAAATAGGTTGCGTGTAAGCGGATAATTGTTCGCTGCATGATATCCACCGTTTGAGAAATGCGGAAGATTAAGGCTGTAAAAAATGGGGAAAATTTTTTTAAATTTCCATCCGGTTGACCATCCGTTTACTTGGTGCGATGCATAACGCGTGAACAATAAACCATTTCTAATTGGCGGATTCTTTTTCTTCTTCGTTTAATTTTCTTCAAACTTGAACATATATTCGAAAATGAAAACCATTTTCGGCTTATTCCTCGCGCTTGGTTTGTTTCACTTTCAATCTTTGAATCTCAATCTAATTAGATTGGATGAATTCTATTCGGTGCTTTCGTTTCACGCTGAGAGCCAATCATTTTTGGACATCTTCAGTGAAAATAGCTATAAACGCTCCCATAAAAAAAAATTTCGCTTTCAAGCACGTATCACATTTAATAACTTATGATGACTTGACATTTTGCCGCCCTTACTTTCGGATTCGCCGGAATAGTATCAACGTAAGAAAAAGTATTTACTTTGATGAAAGTCCGTCACTTTTAAATATTCTGTTAACGAAAAGTGTCAAGTGAACTGAAGAACAAATTGCTCGAACGTTTGAAGAGAGCGCCGATGAACGTGTCGCATTGTATGGCAATAAATTTCTATTTACTTTAACACTCGCAAGATAAATATTAGTAACCATGTAAGGTATGCAGCAAACTCTCCATTTTTCGTTGCAATTTTGTTTGATTTTATTTCTTTTTTTTTTTTTTCTCGGCAATTTAGCAACCGACCGGATCAGACATGCTATAGTTGACTGACCTAAAGCATTCGACTGACCCATTGATCAAATTTCAATAAATTGTGTTAGCAAAACATCGATTGCTGTACGCCTTGGACTAAATGATGTGTCTGTAATTACATTCTTATCCATACTGGCACTGATCCGTTGTTATAAATTCAAGCTGATGATAATGATCGAAACTGTTTATGCAAACATATTTCCAGAGCCAGGGTCATGGAAAAATAAATGAACGCAGTTTCAATCGTTTCACGGATAGCGGATGTTGGCATGCACATGTATTATGGTTTTTTTCCCGCAATTTTCCTAGCGTTTTCAATAATTGCGCATAGGGATTTTTTCAAATGTTCAATAACAAGTGTGATAATTGTTGAATCGTCCAGCAATTACGTAATTCATCCGATTCTCAGTAGTAAATGAGCAGGCAGAAAAAAAAACGACGTAAGACTCTCCACCGAACAGTACTCCCGTCGTCATTATGGTAGCGCTTCATAATCGCAAGTGTATAGATGATTTTTTCGTTCAAATATTTGAATGAATTTCATGAAATTCACGCCATCAAAATAATTTTTCATTCAATTGCTCGTGCCCAAACATCGAAACTTTTGCTTGTGGCACACAAAACACGGATTTTATACATCTTTCACAGTTATTCAATTGCCAACAGACACAAAACAGAAATTACTCTATTATTATTATTATTATTATTGCTATCATTCGACTCGGCATTTCCATGTGTAAGGTGTACGATTGCATTGCAATTCAAGCCAAATCATATTTAGCACTCACGATTCCATATGTATGCATCACATGCGTTTCAAAGATAAAAAATAAAATTATTGAAAAATGCATATATATGCATCACATGAAAACTTTCACAATTAAAATGTGTGTCTATATGAGAGATGTTCTTTTATATATACCGTATACGAGTATGCGTAAAATATGTCGTGAGTAATATGTTTCATGCGAAAGGCATACAATAGCAATCAGATTATTTTTTGTTATTCTTTTCAACACCTTTTTTCCGTTTTATTCATACGATATTCTTCATGCAATATTCTACATGCGACGTCTTTCGTATGTTATTGTCGGTTTTTGTTTTTGAATGCGAAAGGGAAAAAATCCATGCACAAACTGTTAATTGGGCGCGAGAGAGAGAGAGAGAGAGAGAGAGAGAGAGAGAGAGAGAGAGAGAGA